TTCGCCCCCTGGTAGGGCAGTGCGGGGCGAGCGGGAAGGGCAGCGGCCGCGGTGCTCGTGCTGCAAGCAGCGCCGGCAAAGCTGGATGGGGCCAACAGGGTGGAGGTGTGGTGGGTGGCCCAAACCGGGATTTGGGAATACGTTTAAGGGAAGACACCTCTCTAAGGTGCTGAAAGGAGAAAAGGAAGCAGGTTAGCCCTCAGAAGGGGCAACAGAGAAAACGAAGCACATTTCTAACGTGTTTTTTCCTCCCTAGATTCTCTAGGGCAGCTCTGTGGATTGGGACCACCTCCTTCATGATTCTGGTTCTTCCTGTCGTATTTGAAACTGAAAAGCTGCAGATGGAGCAACAGCAGCAGCTGCAGCAACGACAGGTGAGGCTAAAACACCAGAACCCTCTTTAATTGCCGTTCAGGTTAATGTTTGGTTACCTCTATGTCCGTGTAGTTCCCAGTGTTGATGGACCTTTGGAAACAGAAAATCAGAATGTAACTTGTTATATATTGTAATCCCATTCATCCCACTAGGTTCTCTGATTGGATCCTCAGCTCTACTGGAGAAAAGTAAAGTCTTTTTACAGTTTATAATAGTCCATAGATGAAAGCATAAATTCAGATGTTCAAAGGAAGGAGAGTTTCTGTTCAGGAAGAGGTTCATCCAGAACAAATCATAATAAAGCCCTTGCGTGCTGCCTGTGCTCCCCCCCCCCCCCCCCCCCCCCCCCAAAGTTAAGCAGAGCTACTCCCTTCTCCCTCAGTTGTGTCTACTTACTCTTAGTTAAGGTTTAGGAATTGTATTATGGTGTTTTGATTTCCAGGCATTCTAGGAGGAAGTTGAAATTGAATTTTCTTTGAGTTCACAGGTGGCCTGACAATGTTATGTACAGGTGGCCTCTGAATGAGAGGTGACATGATAGAAATCATGGCACTCCTCTGCTGCAACCCCACATGAGGGTGTTTTCTACTATTTGCTTGAATGATCAGTTAACATTGGTGCTGGACTTACCAGAAAAATAAATTTAAAAAAATAAAGTAGAGGCAAAAGGGGCTGAGAGTGAGAGAGACCATCTCGCTGATTCACTGTAACAGACTGTCTGCAAACTTCTTCAAATGCAAATCAGCTTTTATTTGGTCTAAGTAGGCGGTGGAGACTGCATACTGGCCCGATACAGCCTATTGGCAATGTTTAAGTATACCTTTGTATTTGGTATGTTCAAGCGTTAAGCTGTTAGCTGTCATTGCAGAGAAGGAACTGATGTTGCAAAATGCTATTCATAACCTTATATTTGTCATTTATTTATTCCTGGTAGCAGTGTACTTTATAGTTGCAGCTCTCTGAATAACTTTGGGAGCAGGAGGGCAGCAAGTGCAGTCACTGTTTATCCTTGTAGCTCCTTAACTGACTTGACTTTCTTTTCTTACAGATTCTCTTAGGGCCTAACACAGGGTTGTCTGGGGGAATGCCAGGGGCCCTGCCTCCATTTTCTGGAAAAATCTAATTTGCAGAAGCTGCACTGGATTCATATCATGTGGGAAGACCTTGAGATTATGATATATTGAACTGTTGATTTGTTGGGCCAGGGCATTTTTTGTTTGTTTTTATTTTTGGTTGTACTTTGGGACATTATGAATATGTCAATATAGAGGGAAGTCCCCTCTCTGGACCTGATGATGGCTCCTGTCTGCATTCTTCCCCTGTAGAAGTTATGAGTCTTTTCTTTTATTTGATCAGTATGCCATAACCAGTTAAAAAGACTCAAGATCAGGGAGTTCCTCTTCTGGACTCCTTGTCACCCAGAAAACCATCCTGGGGCACAAGTCAGACTTCAAAAGTCAGCAATCAAAAAAAAAGAAAAACCCCATCCACCTTCCTGGGGCTAACCCAAAGCCTTAGGACATCAGTGATAGAATGAGGAGTGAATTTCCCAGCAGATGAAGCAAAGGAGGAGGAAGGGTTGCAGGTATCTGTGCCCTGCGGAGAAAATTCTCTGGGAAGACTTGTGTGCAAACACTTTCACTGCAGTTTTGTGTGTGAGTACCAACGGAGCAGCAGACCAGCTTAAAGAAGATCACATCTACGCTGATCCTCTTTGCATCATAAAGTAGAACTTATTGGCTGCCTTTTTTTTGTATTAAATATTAAATAAATTGAACCCAAACAGTGTGATTTGAATAGATGTCCCTTAGAGGGGCTCAGTTCCTTCTTGCCTTTCGGTGCAGATGTGGAAAGTGAAAGAACTGTTAAAGCTTCAGGCTTAACCAAGAGATACATAAGAGGTGGGTATAGAAGGAGGACCTAATACTGCTTTATCACTTTCTGGATGACTAAGGGAGTTTGGGGTAGCAACAGAGCCACTTCTTTAATGATTTTACCTCAACGCTAGCGGGCGTGTTTCAGTGTTCTTATCCCCAAGAAAGGTTTCAGTTTTATAACCAAAGAAAAAAAAATTTATTTTCCTTTACATACTTTGTTACAGAACAATTCAGTTGAACATACAGAAGTGATAGGACATTTATATGGAAATGTTTTTCCATTTTTAATATTTGGTTAAACAAAATACATCTCTGTAAACAAACCCAGACAAGGCTCTGACAAAACCAAACAAGCAAGAAAACAAACACGGGCTTCCCCACTCCCAAGCAGTGGGACTGGACTGTTTTGCCCACCTTCTGTCACTGCAGCCTTGCTTCCCAGGGGGGTGTGATCATACAGTTTCCCTTTACCTGAGCAGCTGGATCACAGTATTTTCCCCCACAGGAAAGGGGCTGACGTAAAAGGAGAGGAAAGTAACCCCAAAACATTTTAAAACATATTTGCATATTGTGCACTGATCCATTGGCTTGCAGTTTTCATGCAAACAGGGTTCTTCCAAAGTGCAGTTTTAATCAACATAGAAAATGTTGCTGTTGAGATTCATTTTTCTCTTTCCCCACTTGAAGAAATGGCTTCAAGTCACGAGCAGAATGCCTACAGACTTTGCATTCTGCTTGTAAAGTGTTTAAAAATTCTGCCAGCTGGTATTGGTCATTGGAATGTGTTAAGAAATAGGATTTCTTATAGAAACGTTAGGGTTTTTAAAACGTCAGAGCTGTTCGCCCTCATCTTCAGGGAGCTGTGCTCAAAAGACTGCACAATGGTGCTTGCAGGATGTCCAGGGGTCAGCATGCAGCATCATTGTCCTGTTGTCACATGGCCTGTTTTCTGTTAAGAAGGTCTGACTTTGGTGGTCTCTCATTCAGCTTCAAACACCTACTCGCACTTTGCTGAGCTTTCAAGATAACTGAGGAAAAAGTAGTTAAAGCCCACTGGCCCCCTTTCAAAAGCTCAAACACCAGTAGTGAGAGTTTCCCACAGAACGGAGCAGGATCCTCAGTTCCATCACTTTTCAGATATTACCATTTAAAAGAGAAGACATCAGATGTTTAAGGGAGGGAACAAACAGCCAGGAAGCACTAAACACATGAATTCTATTCTAACTTCAGCATTTCCTAATTCTGCGGTGGAAGGAATAATTGAACTAAAGAGAACCCAGATGACAGGGTAACAACTGATGGAGGTTCCTGTTAACAGTTTCCCGGTCTAGTCACTTTTCTCTCCAGGAGGGAGAGGAGGAAAAAGTGATTCAGCCATTAATGGAATGCTTGTCAGTCAACACTAAAAGAACTTGGTTCAGCTACCGTGCTGGAGCGTCTCTAACACTTGAAGATTCAGGTTGGGCCCTGAGCATCTCCCACATTAGCTGCTAGTTAACTATAAAAAATGAGAAACTGCCCATTATAAAGGCTTCCATCCTCAGCCGATTTTTCTTCCCAACTTTAGCTCAGTAGCAGAAGAGCTCCCTTTTGGGACATTCTGCATGACATGAGCTTCTGTGGGCTAAACTTCTGGAAAGAGGGGAATGACTTCCTCTTAAACCCCCTCAGTTTTATTCCTCTCTCCAAGCAGCCTCTAAATACTGGGTGACCATGCAGAAAACCAAAATAGCATCAGATGTTACAAAGAAAGAAAACACCCAACACTGCACAAAGAAACCCAAGCAGACTACAGCCTCTCTCAGTTTAGAGACTTGATATTCTTCTATTAGCCTGTGCTTACTGTTTCCACATTGCTTTAGCCAGCCACATGTTGCCAAACAACCACTCAGCTATGTACATAAATCCCTGGAGACACTGTGCAAGAATCCTCCGGCTACCCAAAGAATTTCTTGAAAGATGACACTGTTTTTGTTATTGTCTTCTAATTGTTGGCAAAAGCCATCCTAAAGAGGCAGAGGGCTGTACTGAGCACCGTACGATTCCTAGTGTTTGAGAGTATCCTGAGAGACCCTTACAAATTGCAAATGTCTTCACAAACTACTTGTTTTGGAGGGAGAGACTCGTGAAAACGAGGCAGGGTGCTTGGCCCTGCTCCTCCTCTAGACACATTCCAGCCAGAGCAGCCTGGGTGAGCTCTGGAGGGAGCAGTGTCCAACCACACGCAGTCTTGAAAGGCATGGGGAAGGGGGGACCAGCGAGTTCCAGACACCTTTGCCCCAAAGCTCAGTTTTGAAGAGCACGCTGCATTCTAGTTAGCTTAAGAGCATGTAGCTCATTTGCTTTTGCAATTAAAGTGATTGGCTTCCAGTTTCCTCCACTCTGCCCTTAATTCTTCCCCTGCCACCTCCCTCAATATCCTATGTCACTGCCCTATTGCACCAAGAAGAAAGAAAAGAGCCCAACAAAAGCAAGTTCCAGAAGAGAAGAGTGGGGGCACCCATTATCCAGGTTACAGGATGTCAGGAGTTTGGTAAGGGGGAAGAGCTGTAGTGAGAGGACAGAGCTGGTCCAGGTCACACATCAGCTCTCCAGCTCTGATGGGCTTCCACCTCCTCTGGCACCACCAGCAGAAGTTCACAGTTCTTTCCTCTCAGCTGGTGTTTCAAGAATTTCCTATGGGAATGAGGGGCAGAAATAAGCACTACTGAACAAAGAGCTTTTTTGTCTTCTACAACCAATTAAAAAATTAAAAAAAAAAATCCACAACTTGAAGGCTCGTGTTTATCAACTATGCAAACATGACAAGAAATGGGAGGGAACCCTCGCACACTGTCTTTAGTTATTTTCAGACAATAAAAACATATTAAACTCTCTCCACTGGATCCAAAACACCTCCACCTAGCAAGTTACTGCAGAATCACATGGACATGATCTTAACCTCCTTAACTGACAGGAAGTTATATAGATGTCACTATCCAATTTTCCAAAGATATTTTGTTCCTTCAGGGTGGCAAAAATAGAACAGAATTTAAAAGCTCAGTTTTGTCGAGTCTCCAAGATCAAGAGTTCCACTGCATTTTTAAATAATTCCAACTAATCTGGAACACTTGTGAGAAAAATCATCATCATTTAGATGTCCTTATCACAGATAGCAGGAGCAGTGCATGACCTGGGACTTGAATTGGTTCTGCAGTGCCTCTTTGCCTGTAAGCCTTTTCCAATAGCAAACTTGGATTATCTTCAATAATTATGAAAGTCTAAATTTTCTCCAGTATCTTTCAGCCCAGATTTCTAAAATTCTCCCTCTCTCTATATAAAGTCTTTATTTATTGCTGAAAAGCAGTGCATCCAGGATAAAATCCATCAATAACTAAGCACATTACTTTATCTCAGAAATTCACAACAGTGCTGCATTCACTTTGCCGAGACTTTAATGGCATGATAGGCTCTGCAAATACTGCTCACGTGCAACCTCTACTTTAGAACAAGTCTGTTTGAGACAGCAAAGCTGTTAGTGTACTTTAAAAGGAGATGGGATGAAGTTAAACAACAACTAGGAGTAGGTTAGCTTTTACAATCAGCAATCCTGGGTTAAGATTGAAGGAGAGAGTGGAGTCAAGCACGAAGTGCAATGTACACTCATATAGGCAAACGATTCCTAGCGAGCAGCTTTTACTGCTGTCAAGAATAAGGCTGCACTTTTAAGTTAGAAGGATTTTTATTGGGAACACACACATGCAGATCACTACTAAAGAGGCAAAGGCTTGCTGATGAGCTCACGTTTGACAGTGAGAGGCAGCTCATCCAGTCGCACGTGTCACTCACTAACCTCAGACTTCGCCTCTACATTCATTGCTAGCGACAGAGCCAGTCACGTAAAAGATGAAGTCAGGCTCTCCCGAGCTCTCAGAGATTGCTACTGGCATTTCCCTAGCTTCACACAAAAGGGGCGTAAGTCTAAGCGGAGGCGCGAGAATCTTACTACTTTCATTAATCTTTGCTATCAGAATTCAACCATAAACGTTTCAAGCGCTAGCTGCTTAAGGACAGAATCTCCACCTGCAACAGGGAAGGATTTGAGGAAGGCTAGGATAAAAAGAAAAGAAAAAATATCTACCTGAGCTCACTTTCACCTCCAATCCACTCGGGCACCTTGAGTTTGGAGTCAAGGTTGTAGTAGGTGCCTCCCACCTCCCGGACACAGATCCAGTGCTGTCGCTTGAGGGGGAGCTTCAAGGGACCCCAGCAAAGGCTGGAGGGCAGATTCATGATGAAGCCCATCACGTTAGACAGGGCAATGACATTAACATCCCTGAAAGAGCAGAGAAAACAGACAATGGTAAGATTATATTTTGGTACTGTAACAGCATGTCTTACTTGTTTTATGAAGAGCAGCCATCTCCAGAACTACAGTAAGACTTCCCCAGATATACCATTTCCCAGTACCTGCGCTTGTCCCACCAAACTGCTTCATAGCCTTTGGTCTGAAGCGCTGCCATGATTACGTTCACATCATAGTTGCCATTTCCCAGCATGCTCTTCTTGTGTGGCGTCACCATGGTGTTGGGAGACAGCCTGCAAACAGAACAAGAGACTGCTGCAGCAGGTGTTTTATAGAACCTATATACCAATTTCATCTACCTGTCAGTTACAAAGTTGGAAAGGGCTAGTTGCTCTATCAATAACTCAGAGCCTGTTTTCAGCTTTTGTTTGTTTTTCATTTGAATATGCACTATTCCATTTCCCCCTTATGCTTCAGGCAGAGGGGCTGCATTAAGAATAACTTTGATGTATGAAGCCTCCAAAGATCCTAGCTTTGATGTGAAAGAGACTGCAAAACAGAAAGCTTTTCCCCCCCTGGAACTGATGCTTCAATTACTTTCCTCAATTCATGGTT